CAGACTGGAGACTGGTAGGTAGGCCAAAATGAGGGATTATTTCAGAGGTGAAAGTGCATGTTACCACTGCTGAGTCCCCTGAAATGGAAGGGAAAGCCTCAACCCAACCTGAGAAGGTATCCACTAAGGTCAGAAGATAGCATGTCTTCTCGTGGGGAGGCATGTGAGTAAAGTCAATTTGCCAATTCTGGCCAAGAGTGTATCCTCTGGCCTGGTGGTAGGAAAGGATTGAACTTGGAGGCCACCTTGATTAGAGCGACAAGTACATAAGGGGCAATTTTGAGTGATTTTTTTAAGTAACTTGGCCATGTGGGGGGAGTAGTATAAGGGCTGAAGAAGGCATAGCAGGGGTTCATAGGCTACATGGACAGAATTATGGAAGTCTAAAAGGATTTGTTTAGCTTGTGTGGTAGGGAGGACAAGGCAACCAGAGCGAGTATACCAGTTGTTTGTTTGTTTTGTACTCCCAACTGTTGGAGGTGTTGTATTTCTTGGGGTGTGTATTGGGGTAAGGGTATAGGTGCCATAAGAAGGACCTGAGCAGGAGAGGAAGAGTGGGGCCATGGTGGTTGAGCAGCCTGTTTTGCAGATCTGCCAGTTTGTTCCCCTGAGCTATTGGGTTGTTGGGGATTTGGTGTCCTCTGCAGTGTATAACCCCAATCTCCTTTGGGAGTTGTGCAGCCTCAAGAAGTATCTTGATAAGATGTCTGTTTTTTAGGGGCCCTCCTTGAGTGGTCATGTATCCTCTCTCCTTCCATATGGCCACACAGGAGTGTAGGAGGTGGTAAGCACACTTAGTCAGTGTACATATTGACTCATTTGTTACTTGCCAGAGTGAGAGCACGGGTGAGGGCAATGAGTTCTGCCTGTTGGGAAGTGGTGCTAGTGGGGAGGGGGGAAGCCTCAATAGTTTGTGTTAGATTTACTATGGCATAACCCACCCGGGGGGTAGGCGTAGAGATGATGCTCCCATCTATGAATGATGTATGTTGGGGCCGTGTAATAGGATGTGGGGAGATGTGTGGAAAGGGATTCAGAAAGAGGTCTAAAGCCTCCATGCAATCATGTTCTAAGGGTTGTGAGTGGCTGGATGAGAGTGGCTGGAGAACTGGGAATATTCAATGAAAGTAAGGTGGATAAGTTGTAGGCAGAAAGGGGAGAGAGTCAACCTGGCCTCATGGCTGAAAAGGTCTTGAAAATAGTGGTGGGGAACAAATAACTGTTTGTCGTCCAAAAGTTAATTTAGAGCTTTCTTGTGCTAAAATGGTGGCTGTCACCAAGGCCCATAAACAAGGGGCTCATCCCCAGGCTGTAGTGTCTAGTTGTTTAGAGAGGTATGCAACCGAGGAGAAAATACCTCCTGCCTCTTGTCCCAGGACCCCGACTGCCAGTCCTTGGGTCTCAGTGATGTATAAAACAAAAGGATAAGATAAATTTGGGAGAGAAAGAGCTGGGGCTGTGAGAAGAGCAGCTGTTAATCGCTGGTAGGGAGAATGAACAGGCTTTGTGGGACAGGCTTTTCGGGTGTGTAAGGAGGTTGTCAGGGAGCAGAGTGGTCTGAGGGATCAAAAGATTGATCCAAGTCTGGAAGGAGAGGTTGGGCATGAGCTACGAGAATTTGAGAGGTAGGACAGTTTTGATAGAGAGAAGGATGCAATCGGAGATAGAACAAGGCTTGAACATAAGGAATCTCTCCAGGTTTGCCACTCTGGTGACAAAAGTTGTCTAGGTCTCTGAGAGTATCCAAATCAAAAGTGCCATCTTCTGACCACTGGGATCCATTGTCTAGTTTGTACGTAGGCCAAAGTTGATTGCAGTAGAAAATGAGGTGTTTGGGTTTAATATCTCCCTGGAGGCCAAGAGGTTGTAGAAGTTATTAATGAAATAGAAATAAAACACAAGTATTTTTCAGGAGAGGACCAAAGTCCTTAGTCTAGGCCAAAGCCTGTAGCTTAGAGGAAATTGGCCAGGAGACAGCCCAGAGGCATGCTCTATTCAAAATTCTGTTTGAATTGTGAGGATCCCATGTGAAGGGTGAGAAAAGAAATGGGCAGTCCTAGTACAAGAAGAGTGCCAACAAAGAGTGTCCTCATTGTTGTACACCTTCTTTTGCAATTGCAGTAGCGAGAGGAGCCACCAGCTAGAGGAGCATCCTCCAATAGCCAGGGCAAGAAAGGAGTTCCCTTGGCCAGGCTCCTGGTCTTCATGAAGTAGACAGTAGTCATAGAAAGTAGTCTGGGGAACCCGTAGAAGTAGGACAGACCCACTGACTCACCCTGAATTAAGGCTGATGTTGAATGTGTTGGTCTTGAAGTGGCAAGAGGAGAGAGTCCTGGAGGTACCCGGTTCAGCAGGTCCGGGAAGGGCGGCCAGGGGCCAATCAACCCAAGAGAGGGGATCATCCAAAGGTCCTAGCCAGGACACTTCCCGGGTTTGGGCACCAAAATGAAAGAAAGTGAGCTGAAACACCAGGTACCGATCAAGCTTTCTTAAAGGAAAAGAATCTGCCAGGCTGCACTCAAAATGGAGAGCAGCAGCCAGGGCTGCCCTCAAAGTGGAGAGCAACAACTGTCGTTGGGGTGGGAGAGCTTATAAGGGCTGTAGGGCACCAACGGCTGGCTGAAGCAATCAAGGAGGGGCATTGCGAGGGAGGGGCATTGCACCCATGCAGAAGAAAAAGGGTTTCTGTTTCTCAGAAATCATGAGGTTTCTTACAAAGGGAGGGGCTGGCGACCATTTCGTGGTTGGTTTTTCCTATAATGGTACCAGATATGTTCAGAAGCTATCAATTAACCCATGTGCTAAATGCTCAGCAGAGAAAAAGGGAAACAGTATTATCCAGAGCCCCTATGATTTCTTATATACAATGTTGATATTTAATCAAAAATTACTAGGTACATCAAGAGACACAAAAAATCAAGGCAATTTTGTCTTTCTTTTATAATACAATCTGTAATTTATAATGCAATGTCTTGCACTATCTTAAACACATAATTTGAAACACCAATGAAAACAGTTCTGTAGATGTGAAAATCTTCCATTAATAGATGTGGAGTATGCATAAAGCAAATGTACTTCACGGGGCCTGGTTTTCCAAAGCCTTGCAGTTTCAAATATTGACAGGAAGTATTCCCCAGGCTATAGTCTCTGTTGCAAGATAAAGAATTGTAACACAGCAAGGTTGCTGGCTCAAAGACAAACAGGTTACTGATTGACATGTAAAGATACTGGGAAATTACTGTAAGAAGAGAATGTTTGCTAAAATCAAGCTTTTGTTGAAAATTGCATTATAGAAGATCACCTTGCTTGTCTTACTGAATGTTATCAGCTTCTATTGTTAAACTTGTTAAACTGTACTTAGAAAAAAACCCACCTATGTTCTCTTCCTGTAACTTCCTGGTCTGGAGAATAAATGCGGGAAGAGAACCCCAATTCATGGTTAATTTCCCAGATGGAAGGAATGCCTCTCTCTTGAGGGTTCCAGGAGATTAACCCCTTTTCAGGGCTTCTCACTGCTTGGAAGAGATGGGCTTTGAGTAATTTTTGCAGCTCCATCACACAGGGGAAAAGGGGTGACAAATCCGTGGGAGGCAAAGCAACAAATACAATAGCAAATAACAGAGAATGTACCATATTTCTAAACTCTCTGCAAGAATAATTTTATCCTTCTTCAAATATCACAGCTACATAATTCTTCTTATTGCTCATACAGAATATTCATTAAATCTTAACACATGTATTTACTTATCAGCACTTTTACTCCATTCCTTTAAACACTTTCATGTTGGTAAGAAGGTACAGTTGCAAAACCGACTTCCGATACCAACAACTGAAGTACTTTCTTTCCAGCTTTCCTAAAACAAAACTACACATTTTGTTTATCTAATATATTAAAACCCTACTAACTCTAGCTTTAAAAAGACAAAGTATTGGGCCGAGCCTGTGGCGCACTTGGGAGAGTGCGGCGCTGGGAGCGCTCCTGCCGTGGGTTCGGATCCTATATAGGGATGACCGGTGCACTCACAGCGCTCACTGGCTGAGCGCGGTGCGGTCAGTCTCAAAAAGGACAAAAAAAAAAAAAGACAAAGTATTGTGAAAATACTTTGAAAACTATAAATCTCCACACAAATGTAATGGCATTACCATTATTATTAATATAAGAAAAGCCTGAATTTTTAAAAATACTTTCAACTAATGGCCATGAATTTGTGGCTTTTTAACAAAGACAAAATCAGAAATTAGCTTCTGTGTAAGCTATTAAAATAGCTTAAATTCAAAATCTAACTCCATGAAACCAAGATATTATCCTCTTTGAGTAACTATCTTTCATTTTTCTCTTTACCGTTAAGATATATATTGTTTTAACAGAATGAAATCCCTTAAGGTAATAACGGAAAGGTCACATAAAATTAAGTATAAAAAGAACCATAGAATTCTCAGGACCTGTTTAGATTCTAGTATCTTTATAAGATAAAGTTTTAAACAACACAATTTTTAAGGCTGTTTTTAGACATGCATGTATGTATTTTGATGGCTGGCCAGTATGGGGATCCAAACCCCCAACCTTGGTGTTATAACATTAAAGCTGCTTTTAATTCTGTCTATGACTCTACACATGGCTACTGAATTAGTGTAGTAAAAATTTCATTTAGTTAAATCAATGAATGGTATAAGTAACTTTAAAAATTAAGTGCTCTCTCAAAGTTGCAATGATAAGGCATATTTGCACAATCAAGCTTAGAACACAGACAGAAGATAAATATTTCACAAAACACAGAAATAATTTCCATAAAAATTGAGTACATATCAGAACAAGTAACCTAATTAGGTAAATGAAAATAGTCTAATAATGAACCTGGAAAATTCTGACAGTACAGCAATGACTCACATAAGCAATGACAGTGAGGATTAAGTTAACCTTTGTGCTTCATGCAAATATGAGACCTTTGTACATTTTGCTATCCAGATACAAAAAGGTAGTTCAGATGAAAAAAAAAAACTTATAAAAACTTCTCCTTGCAAGCAATGAAGTAGAAGAAAATAATGCTGACTTTCTTGGCCTGCTTTCTTTAAATCAGCCTTCAACCAAGAATAACTAAAACAATGGACCACAAGTGTGCCAAGGAGCATAAAGCTTAATGTTAAAACACCAAAAACATATTGTCCTTCATGAAAAAATCTTACAAATACCCATATGTCCACAATTAAATCACTTATAAGGATTATAATGCCAAGAACTGACATCATAAAATTATGTTTAGGGGCCAGCCCGGTGGCGCACTCGGTAGAGTGCGGCGCTTGGGAGCATGGTGGCGCTCCCGCCAAGGGTTCGGATCCCATATAGAGACCAGTCCGCTCACTGGTTGAGCGCGGTGCGGGCGCGACACCGAGGGTTGCAATCCCATTGCCGGTCGCAGTACGGGCGCGACACTGAGGGTTGCAATCCCGTTACCGGTCACGAAAAAAGACCAAAAAAGGAAAAAAAAAAATTATGTTTAGTATACTTCATTATCAATCACTTTAGCTCTTGGTTATCTACTTCCTTCTCTCATACAAAAAGAAGAAAAAATGTCCAAACAAATATCACGGCATCCTTTGGTATAGCACTGAATTGTAATTTCTATTCCTTAAGAATAAATATGAAATTGGAATACTAAAATCAAAGTGATTGATTTTAACTTTCTTTTCTAAATCTCTAATTCAAGTCCAAGGTTACAAGGCTTCCTTCTGTTTCACAATGATCTTCATTACAGATGACAACACCTAGAACAAAATATGTTTTTTAAAATTTGCATATAAGTTCAAAAACACTGGGCCATGATTTTATCAAAGCTCTATTTTTTCTAAAAATAATATATTACCACTAAATAGAGTTCTAATAATAGCTTTGGAAAAGTAAAGTCTCAGAAATTTACTTCCTCTCAGACTATCTTTTTAAAATAAATCTACTCACAAAGATATTTATCACAGAACCATTTATAATATCAAAAATGTTGGAAACAACCTAAATATATCAACATAAGGAAATGGTAAAGTAAACAAAGGTAGATTCATAGAAAGCTACTAAGATATATTTAACAAAGGTGCAGTATTGTGAAAATTCTTAATATACTTTTGACCCAGCAATTACATTTAGGATTCTATCCTAGGGAAATAATCACATATGTGCACCAAGACATGTACTCTTTGCAGAGCCTTCTTTTTTTTTTTTTTTTTTTTTTTTTTTGTCCTTTTTGAGACCGGCCGCACCACGCTCAGCCAGTGAGCGCTGTGAGCGCACCGGTCGTCCCTATATAGGATCCGAACCCACGGCGGGAGCGCTACTGCGCTCCCAGCGCCACACTCTCCCGAGTGTGCCACGGGCTCAGCCCATGCAGAGCCTTTTTTATAACAGCAAAAAATTGAAAACTACCTAATGACAATTGAGTGGCTTAGTTCAATAAATTATGGTACATCCAACTAAAAGATTCATCATACAACCCCTAACAAGAATGCAGTAGCTTTTGTATGAACTGACTTCAGATGATCTCCAAGATGTGAAAAAAGTGCCAGAAAAATAAATACAGCACTTACAGTTTTTAACTGTATATGGAAAGAGAAAGGGGGTTAGGAATAGAAAGCAAATACGCTTCAGTTGTTTACTCTCTATACTTCTATATTGTTTGAGTTTTTTACAACAGATCTGTACTCATGTACTATTTATATAATTTCTTAAAATAAAAGCTACAGTAAATGATACTTATGAAGAATTTCAATGACTAGAGAAAATGTTTATGCTACTAATGAAAGCCAACATTTACTTATCACTTTGTGCCAAGCATCAAGCTAAATGTTGTATATGAAATGCCCCAACTTAATACATCAAACTTATGATTTAGATACTATTATGATCACTATTTTATACACATGGATTGAATGCAATCTGCAGACAAAATCTGCCTGACTCAACAGTGTTTTTGTTTGTTTTTCTAACTAATTGCCAACATTTCACAAAAAATCCAGATTTCTGGCTGCTATCAAAAAACTGAAAGATTTGCTACACTTGCCCTTCATGAGCAGTAGCTGCCCCTTTAGAGGGAGCATGCTCTCTCCAGTTTACCACAGTAGCCATCTGGCCCACTGCAGTCACTTCAAGAGCTGGATTTCAGTGCTAATGCAGCTACCTACTATGTGAAGTTGTGTGTCCTTAAATGTCTTCTTTTCTTCCTTGTGTTCTATTTTCTTCACCTGAAATATGGAGATAATAATGGTATTTCCTCATAGGGTTGTTGTGAAGGTTAAGAAAGATAATATCCACAATACATACAAGGGGACTTCAAAAAGGTTGTGGAAAATGGAATTAAAAGATAAAAATAAAAAATATAAAATTTATTTCTCAAAACAAACTCCATCAAGTTCAAGACACTTTTATAAGTGACATTACCAGCCATTTAGTCCATCCCTAAAGAACTGAAGGTCCTGGGGACTTAACCATGTGAATGCAGTCTTTTTTATATTACTAACTGAAAAAAAAATGGGTGCCCCTTAAACATTTTTTAAGATTAGCAAACAAAAATAAGTCAGGGCTGCCTGGTTGGCTCAGTTAGTTAGATCATGGTGCTGACAACACCAAGGTCCAGGGTGCAGATACTAAAATGAAACTAAAATCACCTGTTAGTCACACATGGCATTTTCTAATCTAGTAATAAGAGTCTATATCACTGTGAATGAAGTATACCCCTTTATGACTATCTCATTCAAGGGAAGAAATAACATGGCTCCTTTTATAGTTGACTAGCTTCCAAGCTTTCTATTGTATTTGTCAATTAAGTCTTAAGAAAATACAATTTGCCTCACAGCATATCCAAGTGGATAGCAGCCCATGTTTGAAAAGGAGACATTCTTAAATTTGAAATACTCTGATAAAGAATTTACAAAGCATCATTAACTTAGCCTGACCTACTTTTCAACCTGTATACCTTCTCAAACTCTATGCCCCAAGAATATATGATTGTTGGTGTCTATTACCAAAATAAATACTATATTTCTTCTATTTCCAAGCCTTTGTTCAAGGTTATTTACTGTCTAGAATAACCACCATCTATCTGATGAAGTTCTATTAATCCTTTAAGAATTAACTCAAAACCCACTACCTTTGAGCGTTCCCAGGTCTTCCCAATAAATATAATTTTCCTCTTCCTTCTTGCAATCCTATCACGTTAGCTGGACTTCTCTTCTACGATATGCTTTAAAATAAGGTTGTGGGGCCGAGCCCATGGCGCACTCGGGAGAGTGTGGCGCTGGGAGTGCAGCGGCGCTGGGAGTGCAGCGTTGCTCCTGCCGCAGTTTCGGATCCTATATAGGGATGACCAGTGCGCTCACAGCGCTCACTGGCTGAGCGCGGTGCGGCCGGTCTCAAAAAGGACAAAAAAATAAAATAAAATAAGGTTGTGTATGCCTCCTTCATGGTTATGACCCTCTAAAAAACAAAGATTATCTTATTCATTTTTAACAACCCACCCCCCGCCCCAGTACATCTACAATACTTTGCATGTTGTAAGTAGATAATAGATTATTGTAACTGAAAAGAACGTAGAAATCTTTGGTCTTATTGCTTGGAGAGGAAGTTAAATTTCAAGTCACATTGCTAAACATATCCAGAAAGACTCAATTTTGTATCTGTAATCTAGATCTCTCTTCTGAGATCAACCCATATATCCAACTATCTATACATTTCCTTACCTCGATATCCCACAATCACCAGAATCTCAACTTGTCTAAACCATGTTCACTATCTACTCTCTGTGCTCTTCTGCTATTGTCTCCCTATATGAACCTATGCAAGTCACTTAATTTTTAAAGCATTTGTTGGGCCCTTTCTTCATCTGTCAAATGAAGAGCTTGGTTAAATGAAATCGATATGGAAAGCACAGGGAAATTTAATTTTTTTTTTTTTTTAAGGCTAAAGGATAAGAGAAAAGAGGTTCCCAGAGTCTCTCTGGAAGAAGTTACTGCTCCATCCTCTTCTCCAAGGTTCACTGACTTCCCAGCAGGGTTCTTAAAAAAGGAAGATGGGGGTAGCTTCCTGCCTGAATAGCCATTAATTGATGGCTACTAATAATAAATATTGGTAGGTTGAAACGCCTGATGTAAGAAATACTGATGTTTACTTAGAGCTTTTTTGTGTTTTGTTTTGTTTTGCTGGAGGCCGGCTGGTAGAGGGATCAAACCATAGTGTTATCAGCACCACACGATAATCAACTGAGCTAACCGGCCAGCCCCCAAGCATTTTTCATAGGGTATATTGCTTAACTTCCCACTACAAAGAGGATAATTTATATGATTATTTCAGCAACGGTTTTTTAAATACTTTCCCATTAAGAGCACATCTTTGAGGCACAAGGCAAAGAAAATTCTCACTCATAACCACAAGTGTTGTTCAACCAATCTGTAATATTAAACTGCTGATTTGTAAAATAAACATAAGTTAACAGCAGATAGTCTTTTCTTCAGAAATATCTGCAAAAAAAAAGAATGCTAAAAATGCCTATCCTGAATTTTAGAACCAAGCATCCAATGTGTCCATTTATCTTTTAAAAAAACAGTGGGTCAGGATAGTAAGATATGTTCTACAACACTGTTGGGGTAGTAGTTACATACAGTAGTCATAATTCGATGGAAATGATCACAGGATCTGCGCATTTTCTTTTAGAAAGTTTATATTTCAACTTTTTAAATGCGGACTGGTAAACACTGCGGTAGTTAATAACTGGCCTTCTAGTAAAGGACGCATTACAGTGTGAACAGGTCCCTTCCATGCTGGGCACGAAACTCCTCCGCAAAACCAACCTCGTTCCCCTGGGCAAGCAGGTAGCACGGGGAGAGAGAGTCAAGCTCCTTGAATCTCCCAGATACGTCAAGCGCTGGTGCAAGGTGGGATGTCCCAAGGCTCCCCACCTGGTCACATCTGCCAGTCTCCGGTTTTCATTTGTAAAATGGAGACAAACATACTGCCTATCTCTTACTGTGGTTTTGAGGATTAAAAGTTTGTTAAAAAGCACTCAGGACAGCCCTAAGCGCTAAGTAAACATTAGTTACCGCTATTTATCATAAAAGATAAACAGGCTACTCGTCACACACACACACACACACACACACACACACCGCCATTGCCAAAAAGCCTGGCGGGCAAACCTCCCTGGGATGTAGTACTCAATAACTAACCCCAGACCTGCCCGCCCCTTGCTCCGTCACAGGACTTCCCGGGTTAAAATGTCCCTCGCCCACTTCAGTGCACTCGCCTGCCTGCATACAAACTCCTGCGAAGGCCGCAGTCTGTGTCACTGGGCCAGGCCCCCGCCTCGCCTCACGCCACCTCACGCCACGCGCACGCGAACTCCTTCCCGCGCCGCGTAGCCCACGCAGTGTCACGTGACCTGTGCCCCCGCCCTCGCCTATCTGTCGAACCCCTCCCTCCCGGCTCCCGCGGCGTCACGTGGACGGTGCCCCGCCCCGGCCTGCTTGCTAGAC